GGGTAGTTAACTCAGTTAGAACTTCTAACCTAATCCGCTGCTAACCCAGTCAGCTTTAACCCATATCAGACAACCCTAAGAGTATATCTAGAAAAATGTGGTTCGCCATAGCATCAACATTTTTTTTCAATCTTTTCTACTATCTTCTAATCCAATTTCTTTAAATCAATAACGAATTCACAAAAATAATAATCTTAGAGCATTTCTTGTAGTTGAGAAGCATGGGAGAAGGTTAATGTTGGTTGGAAGTATTTGCCAAATTTGAATAACCTTGAATTAGAATTAAAGTATAATCGATAATGTGTTGACATGTATGACCCTGGTCGACCTAAGAGACACCATAACTCCATAAGACATAACGGTCTTTGGGCGAATCATATTTAGCCTATTTACAATTAAAATGTATGATTTTAGGCCCATTTTGTTTTTTTTCTTAGTAAATGTATACCTAGCTACCTAGTAGTATCAAGGGATAAGGTTGTGATAATCACAATTTCAATGGTCTGCGATAATCATTGTTCACGCCTTATAATCATGTCTATGTCAATCGATCGAAGTATGTCATTGCAGTTGTATACGATAATCACGATTTAATAGTCAGTTACACGTACTTATCATCCCTCATCTTCTGGTTGTCTATGTTCATTATCTCCTCCATTCTATATGTGAAGCTTGCTCATCACTAAACTTGTCTCAATATGTTTTTAGTCCATGTCTTTATTTTCTTTTATAATTTCATATATGTTGAAGATGGAATGGCGAAGGAAGAGGAGCAAATGTATGAATAAAAAACCATCTAAAAACCTATTGCATGCTTCGAGATACTATGGGTGTAAATTGATGAATTTCATGTGTCTATAGTCATTGTAAATTGTGAAACTAAGGGTTCATAATCACATTGGACGTTTGACAAAAACAAAATGTGCTTCGACTTATTTATGCCAACTAGCGTAAATTTTGACTCTTGATAGTTGATACTAGCCAATGTGGGACTAGCTCACTTGATAGAATTCTATTAACTTGATGATACTAACTTCTGATTATTAGTTAACGGTTATAAAAAAAAAAAGTAGTTAGTTATAATAATGACTCTTTGACTAATTTGGCAATTACACTGACCACCATAGAAATTAGTACATTTGGAAAGTATTCATCATTCAACACTTCAAAGGTTAACAAATAGAAAATTGTTGACCTTCAGCTGAACTTTTGAGTCTCTTCGACTTGCCTTCTTAAGTCCTTAAGTGAAAATCAATAATTTTGACCATGTTTGTAGACAATGCTTTTTAGTTTCATCGGACACATTTATTCTATTATTTTGTTCTGAACTTTTAGTGTTGATTTTTAGCCACCTTCAGTTAATCTTATATCTTCAACGACTCCTCACTAGAGAACTTTTAGAGAACTTTTAGTGTTGATTTCATAATATATGGATGTACTTCACTCGTTGTCTTTTATGTAAGAGTCTGAAGGTAATTTCAGCTCTTGAGGGGGCATTTATACATTATCTTAAACCTTGGGGGTAATTAAGTAATCCCTAGAAAATCTATAACGAAAACTCTGACTTGCCCAGGTCCCATGTCCCTTCTTTCCAAATCTCTTGATCGGAGTGGGTTTTTACCGACGATTAGATACTAGTTGTCCGGCAAATACACCGGAAACCCACCGGCGAAATGCCAGGACCAGGTCCACACATGATGTATGCTCTAGGTACAGGCCTGGCTCTCATGAGCGTCTCTAATGGCAGATTCAGCCCTCATCACTGCATCTTATACGCACTCAACGCCTTTTTCGGCCCTGACATCGGGTCGTTCGCCGAGTGGCTGACGTCCACCGTTGGCTTGGGTGGTGTATTCGGATCCTCCGTCGAAACTTACATTCACGATCCATTCTTTTACGTTTTGATCCTCGGAGTTCCTCTTTCGTTACTCTACGCTCGTGCTTCACGATTTGTCATCTCCAAGGGTTATCTCGATTCCATCTCAGGGGTCAGTTTATAGGTTTGCGATTCTTTGCTGTAATTTATCTTCAATTTTACAAACAACATAGCATGATAATAATATCTTGCCATTATATTGATCTTGTGCCCTAAAATTCAACGAGCTCTTACAATATTTTCACCGTTTCTTATGCTCTGGGTGAAGATCCCCCTTACCTTGAACCAATGTTTCTTGCTCATATCAGCTGGTTCTTTATCCCACTTCTTCTTAGATCACCTGTTTGAGGTAATATTTCACTTCAGGTTTACATAACAGAGGCAAAAATGGTAAGAGTTATTAGTTAAACAGAGATCAAATATGGCAGGAAAATGGGCATTCAACCATGTACACTTGGATACTGAGTACTGGTTGGTGGAAAGGCCGTGCTCCTGTTAATCCAGATGCTGTTGTTGTAATTGGATTTCTCTGCATCTGTTTAATAATCGGCTTCATTCGAATCAACAGGTGCTTCTTTTTCACCTCATGATCTGAAATCTTAAACAACATATATGTTTTTTGTTATATATCTTGATTTGGGGTTCAATCGAGTTTCATTTTTTGTTTCTATTTAGGATAAAGGCTGAAAAATCTATCAGAAAACAATTGATTAACTCTGCTAAGCTTCTGATAGTGATTGCTAGTGTCTACTGCTTATGGTGTGCGAGCCAAATATACATGGTGAATCCTCCAAGACCAGCAGTTGGTGAAGAAGCAGATCTTGGAGTGATTTTGTTTCTTGCTGTTTACTTCTTCCTTCCACATAGCTTATGCATCATGTCAATGAATCAGGCTGAACGACTCCCTCTTTAGCAATGCCCTTCGTTCATTGTAATATTCACAACATGATTTTTTGAAACATTCATGAGTTTTTTTTTTTGGTGGTTGTAGATAAATTGTGTTATTTTTTTGCTTATAACTCTTGTATTTTGTTGTTGGTGTTAAATATGTAATGGACTTAACGGGTAAGAAGAATTGATCCCTATAGATAAATCGGGGTAGTGGTAGAAGCGCCCAAAAGGCCCTATTGTGAAGTTTGGGCTTGGGCCTGGCCCGTAACTGGTCAAAAATTCCGGTTATAATGGGCCTACTATGGACATTAAAATAATCATATTTTGAGGTAAAATATCACCATCAAACTATCTTTTCCAGACGTTAACCAAATGGTCACAAGTAGTGCGAAACTACAAACAACCTTGATTTGATCACAAAGCAAGCCGATAAACTTTTGTTATATTAATTTGTTCTTCGTGTATTCTAGTAGTTAATAACAGTGAAACCCAAAAGAGTAATGAACTTTAATGGACAGCCCTAGAATAGCAATGTACTCTATCTATTCCGTATCTTTTAATAAAGACACCACCCACGTCTATCATCAAGATATTTAACGCTTAAGATTGACCACAATCACACTTATATTATCTTTGCTTCCATGAGCCATTGCCATTTCTGTTAAGAACACAGCTGCATTATTTGTCAGTCTCCTATGGTGTTTGTTGACCGATCTTCTTCGACAAGTCCATCCATCAAGACATTTTCGCACAAGTTGACATGCCAAATCGTTAGATATGACATCCCATAATCCATCACTAGCTAAGATCATGAATTCATCCGCATCATCTCTTTTGTTCACAGTAACTTCAGGTTTGGCAATTACATATGGTTTTAGTTGCCTGTTGCCTATTGATCTTGAAGTCGCAAGAACTCCAAGAACACGTAGCCCATTCCAGTTGATCACTTTTCCTCCTGAAAGTTCAATTCTTTCTAACTCATCGGGTCTATCTGGCTGCATGTATGTCCAACCTCTTCATTAATATTTTAAGGTTGAAATTGAAGTACAAAGATAAAAGATTGTGTTAATAAATAATTACTTTATGGTCAACCGATAACGGCAAAGTGGCACCACCTCTTGAAAGAACAGCCCTTGAGTCACCGCAATTGGCAACCACTATTTCTTTATCGCTGACCACTGAAACAACAGCGGTGGAGCCCATGGAATCGACAAGGTCAGTTTCATTCACTTCCTTATCCATCTTACTAAAACTCTCCACCATCAAATTTTCCCACTTCACCTCCGTTGAGTTTCTATTTCCTATATCCATCTCCTCCGCCAATTGCTTGTGTAACCGCTCACGACAAGCCTAAGCAAACCATGGCCATCATAAACGCCATAAAAATCAAACTTCCTTGAGTTATCATCAACGAACCTTTTTTCTATCCTCACAGTATCCTCCATCTCTCTCATCCGCCCGATCACCGACGAATGGTAAGTAAAATCGTCATTGTGTTCTTTCTCGGTGTTTTCAAATCGCCTCCTATTGGATAAACAGTGATTTGTATTTGACAAAACCTTCAACCGTCGGAGCTCTGTTCTCCTCCTACGAGCAAGCACAACGTTTGATTTACCCGCGGAATAACCAACAGATTGTCTGCAATTGCTCGATGAAGGCTGTGAAGACATTGCGTGATCCATATTATTGATCATCATGTTTACAAGAAAACCAGTTCACTTTGGATCAATGATTGAAACAAGCAAAGTATATGTATAAGCAAAGATGGAGAGATGAGAGTGACGTAAAAACGGTGGACTATCCGTGATTTCGGCGGTTAAGCATGGGAAACAGTATCCACAGATCCCAACTATAGAGGAATGACACGTAAGTAAGGTTGACAGATTCGTATAAGGTACGTGTATGACTCAAGTTGGATTCCAATCCAATACAGAATTACAGAATTTTTTTTTTTTATTTTAATTGGTTTAATAAAGAGTTCACTAGATAACACTTGGAAGAAATAGTTTGCTAGATAGCAGAAAAAATCTGATAAATCCAAACGAATTGTGATTTGCTTTACACAGACAGAAAAGAAAAAAAAAAAAAAAAAAAAAAAGGGAAGTCAATAGGAGATATTTCAACATCATTGGTAAAATTCAACGATTGTCGTTTCTTTGATCCTCAGCTGCCTCCAAGCCCCAACGACCCAAAACGCCAAAAACAATGACAATTATGTGTACGGAGAATGTTGGGTTTGTATTATTGGGCTATTGGGCTATAATTTAATTTGATTCCGTTAGTAGGTATTAATCCACTAGTTTTTGTTTTAGTAGTATTTTTTTTGTTGGTGTTAAATTTAAATGTCATATTTAATTAAGACAATATTATTTATAATTAATATATTTTACATTTAGTTATATAATATTTGTTATTAATTAATGTTTTTTTATGTACCCTTAAGGCACATATTAGAAATCTACTCTGGCAACTTTGTTAAAAGTTGGTTTATTATATTCATTTATTGTACTTCAATTGTTTTATTTAAAAATTTTAATGAGTTAGTTATTAAAAAGGTAACTTGGTTGTAATTAATTGTTCGTCTTTGGTTCTAACAGTTAGCAATTATTGATGAAAGATGCAAGTATATTTCATGTTAATTTTTCTTATTACATTTGGAGTATAAACCATATTAAACTTGTTATATGGTTTTCATTTCGATGTTTTCGTTCCGCCCCTAATTTTAATGTTCTTGTTTCTCCCCTATAGATAAACCAATATAAAAAGTTCAATTACATACAAAACACAATGAATTTGTATTTTAGAAATCAAATAATTAAACTTGACATGTGAAACTTTCATTATCCATCTATAATTAACAAAAAGATGTACTATTTATTATTGATGTTTACATGAGATTTTTCAAGTTGTTTGGTCACAATAATGCATGGTCTAAATGAAAGGTAGAATAGTAGTTTATTGTTGTGGTCCCAAGAAAACGTAATTTGATGGAAGAAAGGATACGGTGAAGAGAATGGTGGATCCCTAGTTGATAAAGGAATTGATGTTTCTTAATGACTTGTCCTATTTGTCATGGAGATTCATAAAATATTTCCCAATTGTTTCTAATCTGCGACTTGATTGCCGACATATGACATAATATTTTCAGATGGATGGACTAGTTAATTGTACCAATGACATCAATTTTTCGGTCATTTTTATGGTTGGCTTTGTAGGATTTATCTAGTGCTAAGAAGAGGATGGTGAATCCGATTATGATCGTTACGTTATGGGTAATATGGTGTTATTAGAATGATGTGGTTTTTGGAGGAAACAAGTGACAGAAATAGATGGTTTTTTATTCTATTAGAGAATTTTCTTTTACTTGGTACACGTCCAGGAATCGGAAAAATACTACTTCTTGGGTTGAGCGGTTGCAAAATCCGACCAACTGTTTTTATTTATTTATTTATTTATTTTTTTTCTGTAGTCTTGCTAGAGGCGTTTGTTTTTTCAATAATATTCAACTGTTAAAGAAACATTATTTTCTTTAATGTAGAGTATTAGTTTGTGATTTTAAACTATGATTCAAAAAAAGGAAAATTATATAAACATCAAAATATCATATATATAATATAGAGTATTAGATGGCGATTTTAAATTATGATTAAAAATGAAAGAATTTCATATATCCCTTAAATAAACATCAAAATATTATCTATGCACTATATAATATATTAATATGTAATTATCAGGTATACCTAATTAAGCTTCTTAATTATCATATTTGCCAAAAAAAAACATTTTATAACCAATTCAAATAATTATTTTTATCAATTTGACTATTATACCCTTATTATAAAGCTGATTTTAGAATACCATACATACCTTTATAAATATTCAAAAATATTTACCTAATTTTTTTAATCAATCTTTTATCCTTTAACTTTTATTTATACGATGAATGATCAAAATACATGAAAGTAGGTCACATTAGATAAAAAAAAAAATGAAGATAAAGATAAAACCCTTTATGCATTCAACTTTTTTCAAGACGAATTTATAGGAAAAAAAGTTGTCAATGTAACCATATTATGCTTGCTCAAATTGTTTGTTTTTGGACACCGATTCTTTTCTCTCAATGATATGAAAAGCCCAATTACCAGATGAAATCCATTACGTCTACCAACTATACAAGACAAACAAACTGAACAAACTGATGTTACCATACACAATACAGATGGAAGGTAAGATGGGTTAATGTTGTGATCAAGTACTACTGTACTAGGGTTGAAAATGTAAACTTTCCAAAAATGTTCAATTTATTTTGATGATACTGTAATGTCATCAGATTGGTCACCAGAATGAGAGTGGAGAAGAAACAGAAGTCACAAAAGGGGAAAATATAGTGTAAACAGAGACCATAATCAGTTAGAAGGATCTGATTTTCAAGTTTTTTTTTTCCCTAAAGATAGTGTAAACGAGATATGAACACGATGATGATGAACTCGCTGATGATGAAGTCGTTGACGATGAAGTCGCTGATAATGGCGGACCAGGAGTACATTGAATGTGGCGGAGCAGGCGTCGATTGTGTGGAGGAGCAGACGTCGATGTCGATTGTATTTCCAGTGCTGCTCAACGTCTCTGTGATAGGAGACCGAAATAGCCATTGATTCATCAAGTATTATGGTTGATCTATTTTTTTAATAATTAAAGTAATTTTAAATAGCTACCAATAATCGTAAAAATGTTAAAAATATATTAAAAAATAAATAAGATTCAGGCAAATTTAATATTTTAAAAGTTTATAAAAAGTATTTATTATATTTAGAGATTAATCATTATAAATATAATACTTTACTGTTTATTTAAGTTATATATATAAAAAATATTCAATAAAAATATAATTAGGTTGAAATGTGTTTTTCTAATACAATTTACTACCTAACTAACTAGAAAACTTTCTTGTTTACAAGTGTTGGGTTCCTATAGATGTCAAAATACAAAGTCATGAAGAGTAAATACAAAGTCATGAAGAGTAAACGTTTAGGATGTAAAGAATGGTCACGGGTGATTTGTGAGTCAAGGTGAGACAACGTAGGTTGTGGAAATGATGTTTACCGGTGGATATGTAGTGAAGGGGTAAAAAGAAAGAGAGAAAATATAAGGGGTAACCAATTAAATGCATCGTCTTCATCCATCTCTATAATCACTCCATAGCCAAACCACCGGACACCGAGACGATGTTCACGCGTGACATGGTTTGCCACATAGGAAACCCACGCGTGGGTATTAGCTCATTCTGGATAGCCTTAAAAACCTAGACATGAGGGTATGCTCATTTTCACATTTTACTTTTCAAATATTACATCATTTTTCCACTCACTTACTTTTTACTCACCAAAAGGCAAAAAAATTATCCACATTTAACTACCTTTTCACTTTTACTTTTTTTTTTTTTTTAAATAAAAATAATCGATTTTTAAGATTTATAATTAAAAAACAAATATAACTCCTTAAAATGATTAATAAACTTACAAACTAATTAAAATAAAGATACTTCATTACTTAAAAAAAAAAAAAAAAAAAAAAAAAAAAAAAACTAGATAAAAAACCAAGGTTTAAAAAAAATGAAACGATCTATGGAAAATATTTTTTCATGATCTTCTTCTTTTTAAAAACTAGTTTGAGGGTCAGTCCCGAAAGGTAATTGGTATTTTCCATCAAGAACTTCATATTGTGTATTTCTTGTCTTTTCACGTGCTTCTTTTTTTCCGCTTCTTTTCATTTGTCGAATGTAAAACATTCAGCGAAATTCAGATTGTATCGATCAAATGTCACATTCATTTACCACATTTCATCTGCTTCCATGCTAAAATATGATACATTGGAAGAGGTCAGACAATTTTTTCTAACTCGAGTTTGTTATCCTCATTTAAATCTAACCCGACACGAACATCAGAAGAAATTGTGTATCCACTGGAGTCCGTTTTTGTTTTTTTTTATTGTCCTCCTCCTAGTATAAAGTCTCGTTTGTATTTTGTCCACCTTGGACTAAGAATTAACAATTTCCAAGACTCGTTAAGTTTGAATTTCTTTTTCGTATCCTTGCGAAAAAAATGCAAAGTCTCTTGAAGAATTTCTTCATCTCCTTGACCGCTTGTCCATTGGGTTTTTAGGTTGTTGTACAACGCGTTTATTTTTTAAATGGATCTCGATATTTCTTGAAACTTTGAATTGAGTTGGTGTTTAGTACGGTACTCTTCATCTTTACCCAACTTTGTGCGAAATCTCTCAAGAATGTGAAGCCAAAAATGATATCCCGTTTGTGCATTTCCCTGAGCTGAATCCTCCGAAATATCAACCCAAACTATTGTCAACACTAGCTCTTCTTCGGGACTCCATGTTATCGGCCTCTGCTTTGTAGTCCAATCCCCTGGTTGTTTTCTTTTGTGGCGTGGTGGGGATTGGGTTGAGTTTCTCATATAATTTCGTCATCCGACTCATCGAGACTTTGGTATTATGTTGTTTGGCTTTGGATTTGAGATTGGTAGAGTGGGGTTTGGCTTTGGAGTTAAGTTGCTGAAAGTTGATCGGGAAAAACAACAAAATTGGTGAACATATTTGGACTAACATTGTAACAACCCAATTTTTCAAAAGAAAATTTTCATTTTTGATTAGCCAAAATTACATTTCCATAAACCACGAAATCTAAATACAAATGTTTTCAAAGCTCATATCAATTACAGTTTATTTCAAAACATCAGAGTGTCCCATAATGTGTCTGAGAGAGTGCACGTCGTGCCATCAAACCTTGCCCTTGCCGTTGGGCTCAAAAGTACCTGAAACAAATCCACAAACTGTAGGCTAATGCTTAGTGAGTTCCCCAGATCATACCCCACATACAATCCACATAACACATATCATATTAGCCATAAAAGCTACACATATCACATAAGCCATGCATACCAACATATAAGGACGCCCTGGAAACCCTCCAGGGTCTTACTCCAGGTGCCATGGGAACCCCTACATGGTCTTAGCCCAATGCCTCGGGAACCCCCCGAGGTCTTGACCTAGGATGCGAGGGAAACCCTCCAAGGTCTTACACCTAAGTGCCTCGGAAACCCCTGAGGTCTTGACCTATGATGCCAGGGAAACCCTCCATGGTCTTATACCTAAGTGCCTCAGGACCCCACTGAGGTTTTCCATACAAGTTTCATAGATATAACTAGTACATCGCATATCACATAACACAATAGCACATACATAACGAATAATAGGAAAGACTTGGTGCCTTCTACCCATTGGCATGTTGAGGAGACTCACCTCTTATGAATGTTATGCTGATAAGATAAGATTCACTAAGTCCCAATGTGCAGCTCCGACTCAACTTCCTATAAGCATCATAAGATTAACTTGTCATAATCCCATAATTACCCTCAAAGTCAAACTTGGTCAACCCTAGTCAACAGTCAAGGTCAACAGTCCATGTTGACCCCCAACTCGTCGAGTGCATCTAGCAACTCATCAAGTTCCTACCGAGTCCAGAAAACTTGAACAAGCCCTAACCAACTCGCCTAATTGTTTCATCAACTCGACAAGTTCACTTGATATCCATAAGGCGGGGAAACCCAATCTGACTCGTCGAGTTGCTAGGGCCACTCGTCGAGTCCTCCCTCCCTATTTGCTTATTATGATGATTCACCGAATACAGGGACTCCAGGGCTTAGATCTGAAACCCTAAGGTGTCAAGAAGGATAAAGTTTCCTACTATACTCTCTATAACGCCATGCATTCCCAAAACCTTAGGGATCTGGAATCCCTCCTTTCGAGATGAGTTTCTAGTCCTCAAAACGTTCCAAAGATGGAGGCTTTATGGACATGCATGTCCAATGCACGTCTTTAGGTCAAAATGGCCAAAAAGGGGAAAACATGCTCCAAAACCCTTGCATGGCATCCTTGCTTGATAAAAAGCTAGATCTAGCCCACCTTAGGACTATTTTGCCTAGAGATCCATAAAGTTGCAAAATTTATGAACCCCGTGCATGAAATCAATAAGAATGAAAGAAAATAAAGAGTAAACTAAGATAAAAATCGAATCTTGGAGACTTACCACAGTCCACAAGATAGTCAAGTTCAAGAATGAGGGCTTGGTTTGCTAGATCTTCTTCTTCTTCTCACTATCTCCTTTTTTTAAGCTTCACAAGACACTCTAGCCCACCAAATGAAAGAGAATGGGGATTAGGGTTTAACACAAACATTCTTAGGGTTTGGAGGTTGATGGAAGGCCAGCATCAAGGTCCTTAAGGAGATTATATAGGGTGTAAACCCTAAAATTAGGGTTTTCTCTATTTAGCTCCTACTCGCCGAGTTGATCCTTCCAACTCGTCGAGTAGGTCCTGATCCCCGCGTCCATGAAATGGTCTCTACTCGACGAGTTGGGGCATCCAACTCGCCGGGTCTATGTACAAACCCTAAAAATCATGTAAATTACTTAATACCTGAAACAAGTGTTACAAACATTTGGTACTTGCACGGGGTAGTATTGCCTAACATTTTGCTATTGGAATTGTGGAGGAGGTTGAATGGGGGCATCAAGTTGGGGACGATAAACCACGTGGGATGGATCAATGGTGAAAATGTTTCGAGTTAGGGTACTTGAACTCGAAACATTGGTTTTTTTCTTCTTCTATAGGATTTAGGGGTTCATTTTTTCAAGAAACATAGAGATTGATAGAAGAAGGTGTGAATTTGAAGTTGAAATTAGTGGGTTATTTATAGGCATGTAAAATGGTGTGTGTGTGTGTGTGTATATATATATATATATATATATATATTCAAAAAAATAACTGTTGGAAGGGATTCTGCCAAAAAAAATGGCCAATCGGGTGAAGAGAGAAGAGGTAGGGTAGCCTCCCCTCGGTCCGATCTTGCACACGCTAAACTGAGGTCATGGTACTGTGTTTCCGATCGCGGTTTCTTTCTCGTGGTTCCTTCCCCGCTATACCCTCCGGTCTTATAAATAACTTAGTTTCTATTAAAGGGCAAATTGCAATAAAGTCACTAAGGTAACCGAAAATTTTGATTTGACATCGTAACATCTTTCTCTCAGTTAACTAACAAATTTTACAATTTTGTTGCAATATCAATCAAATAAATGGCCCTTCCTATTCTTCAGGTGACCATTTTTTCCAAAATGCAATGAAGTCACTAAATTTACAAAACTTTGATTTTGACACTGTGTTTTGTTTTTCTCAATTATATCATTACATTTACAATTTTATTGCAATGTCAACCAATTGACCGGTTACTATCGATCTAGTAAATTACCAAATAAATGACATGGCAATATTATGATGTGGAAGCTACATCATATCCTATGTGGCAAAATTGAGTTTCAAATGTAGGGTTTGCATCAAACTTAATTTCACATATCTTCTTTTCTTTTTCTCCTCAGAGTATTTCTTCACAAATAACGTCTGAAGGTCGGTCCAATGGTTCAAATTCACTTACAAGTCAGCAAAAAGGCCTTACTCACTACTCACTATTTTTTTGGAGATTCTAGTGTGGTTTAGCAAATCAATGTAGATTTATATTGGTCATCGAATCAGTCATATGCCTTTGTTTAACATGACACACGGTGTTACAAAGACTTCATAATATTCTATGTATTCGATATATTTTATTATGACCAAATTTAGACAAACAAATACACGTAATGGCATGATTATTAATAAAGACACCACCAATGTCTATCCTCGAGAGATTTAATGCTTAATATTGACCACAATAACACTTATATTATCTTTGCTTTCACGAGCCATTGCCATTTATGTTAAGAACACAACTGCAAAATTGGTCAATCTCCTATGGTGTTCTTTCAACGATGTCCTTCAACAAATCCATTCATCAATAAATTTTCGACCAAATTGACATACCAAATCGTTAGATATGACATCTCATGATCCATTGCTAGCTAAGATCATGAATCCATTTGCATCATCTATTTTGTTCAAAGTAACTTTAGGTTTTGTAATTACATATGGTTTTAGTTTTCAGTCACCTATTGATCTTGAAGTCACATGAACTCCAATAACACGTAGCCCATTCCAGTCAATCAATATTCCTCAGGAAAGTTCGATTCATTCTAACTCATCGAGTCTATCTGGATTGATGCATGTACAAACTTTTCATTAATATTTTAAGGTTAAAATTAAATTACAAAGACATAAAACTGTGTTAATAACAATTACTTTGTGGTCAACCGATAAGGGCATAGTGGCACCACCTCTTGAAAGAACAACCCTTGAATCATTACAATTAGCAACCACCATTTCTTTATCACCGACCACTGCAACAAAAATATTGGAATCCAAGGAATGGACAAGATCAATTTCATTTAATTCCTCATCTATCTTAGTGAAACTCTCCACCATCAAACTTTCCCAATTCATCTCTGTTGTGTTTCTATTTTCTATATCCACCTCCGCCGCCAACAAATTGTGTAACCGCTCACGAAAAGCGTAAGCAACATCCGAACCACCATGACCATCATAAACGCCATAAAAATTGATATTCCTTGAGTTCTCATAAAAAAAAGTTTTTTCTATACTCACAACATCCTCCATCTCTCTCATCCACCCAATTAGTGACGACTGCCAAGTAAAATCGTCAATGTGTTCTTTGTCGGTGTTCTCAAACCACCTCCTATTAGATAAAGAGTCATGTACACTTGACAAAACCTTCAACCTTCGAAGCCCTGCTCTCCTTTTACAAGAAAGTATAGTGTTTGATTTATCGGAATAATCAACAAATTTCCTGCAATTGCTATTGATGACGCGCCTCCTAGCGCGGGCAAGGAGTGGGATCTCCAGGTTAGAGGACCTTCTAGCTAGCCCAGCTAGGCCCAACCTAGATGCTTCAGCAAGAGCTCTAGCACTCGAGCATTCCCTCAAGGTGGAATGCCCACACGAGAAGTTTGGCCTCGCCAAGGGCATCCCCGCTATAGGACAAATCCAACACCTCCAGTCGACAAAGAGTATGCCCAGAGCACTAACGCATGAGCCAATCTTTGGCCTTGATGCAGCAGGGGACACGATTAGCCAATCAGAATAATGTATCCTATCAGAACTATAGTCCCTGTTCCCCTTATGAAACAACGAGGTTCCTTAGTATAAAAGGGTCTCGGCCCTACCTTGAGAAGTAAGTAATCTCTCTCAATCCTCATCACTCTCATCTATATACCTCCCACTGACTTGACCGTCAGAGTGTCTTCCTGGGACCTCCTCTCGGGAAATGGTTGCCAGTCTTTTTTTTTGTGACTTTGCAGATCCCTCCGACGACAACAAACACTCCAAGAGCCAATGGTCGGAGCCAAGTTCGCATCATTTGTCGCCGTCCGTTTGTGTGAAAAATGATACACAAAACCACATTCCGGTTCATTCTTAGAATGACGAATGAAACTGCCGGTGAACCCTCAGGGCAACAGAACATCCCGATACGACCAATGATGTCACTAGAGCCGGTTGTCACTCCCGTGACACCGGAAGATGGTGTTATAACCACCAATGATGTATCGCCATCTGGTGGCTAAACACCATCATTAGCGATGTCACGACCCCAAAACATACCCCATAACCAATACCTGACATCTATCCTAAGCAGCACAACACAGTCGATCGTCCACCCTGTCGGCGGACAAAATACCCTCAACAAAACCCCATTGCAGCCGATTTTCCAGGGAATCAAAAACTCACAACAAGCCACGCAAATTTTATTGCCGATAACATCCCAAACTACCAGTGGATCGCCATCTTCGTCGCAAACACCAACGCTCCAACCAAGCAACACACCCAACGGGCCACAAACCATGTTCCAAATGCCATCATATTCAACATTTGCGGCAGGCACCATGTTCCCTACCAACACTACAAGAATACCAATCGCCTCCCATAACCCAACAACTCACCATCCCATTTCACCCACTAAACTTCTACGGCCCGATGCCCACAAACAGGCGGTGTACAACAACATGCGAGTCCAACCATACTTGGTAATGCAACAACCCAATTGCCACTATACCCAACAAACCCCAAACCAAGATTGGCTCTCAAGAAGCATAACTTTGCCATTCGTGAAAGAGATCTTGGACTATGAGATACCCAACACCGTAAAGCTACCCAACCTCAAAACCTACAATGGCACCACGGACCTGGACAGCCACATCGACACATACGAATAGACCATGACATCACTAAAACTTAATGAATGTTTTCGTTGTACGTAATTCCCTACAATGCTCGTTGGTAATGCAAGAAAGTGGTTCAAGACACTCCGACCAGGAAGCATTTACAACTTCATCCAACTGAAGTACCTCTTCTTAACCAACTCATGTCGCTGCACAAGTACAAAAGAGATTTGTACTCCATAATCAGATCAGGGGGAGGGGGAGACAGTCAAGGAATACTTTGCCTGATTTAAAAACGCAACCCTCGATAGATGGATCAGAACTTTCGTAAAAGACAACAGGCGAGGGCGATGAGCAGAAATATATGTTGTTGCCGACAAACCTGCAGCTAAAGGAATGGAAACACACTAATACGAATACCACAAAAACCGAATGCATGACACAAATAATTGCTCGGTCCTGAAACATGAAATGGAAGAAAAAGCAGCTAAGGGGAAACATAGTGGAGATCGCTAGAAGCCTACGTGCAAAGTTCGACACGATAAAACCCTAAAGACAATGCTAGAGGAGGAAATTTCCGCTAGGAGATTTTGACAATACATCACAAACGAGTAAGAACGGAACATGCAGGCGACGGAAAGCGGCATCACAGAGGCAATGTGAGGCTTGACTTTCTCAACAACCGTCCCAAGGCCACTGGCCTGAAGAGGGGACGACCTACAGGTAATTCAAGGGTCCATCCAGGACGTCACCATTCACCGCAGTATATGTCGACATAGGAAGCTCAACAAATATCATATATGAACACTGCTTTCAGTTGCTGACAGAAAAATGGAAGGAAGGCTTGAAACCGTTTCCAGGCCAGCTTACCATCTTCATGGGGAATAACATATGGCCTCTAGGTACGATTCATTTACCATTCACACTCATTATCCACAACAAAACAGACGCAAGACAGCTCTCATCGACTTCATCGTTGTACGACACTCCTCCGAGCACAATGTCATATTAGGAAGGACAACCCTACTTAAATTCGAGGCAATATCATCCACTATCTATGGGGTATTGAAATTTAGCATGAGCTAAGGATCGGGAACAATCTTGGAAACCCCACAACAAGTTATAAAGTGCTACAAGATCTTACAACCAACAGAAATCTTCGAAGAATCAAAGAGGCCTCGCTTAGAAGGACCTAAAGGGAAGGAGGTCATCAACCAGGATCACCCAGACCATCCAGTCAGCATAGGGATATCTCTTCCTCAGAAGACAAGACAAGCATTAATAGAGATTTGAAGAAATAAAACATGTATTCGCATGGACTCCCACCGATATGGTTGGAGTCGATCGAGGAGTTATAGAACACAAGTTGATGATCAGGTGCAGAACCAAGGAGATAAAGCAGAAAAAACATTTCCAAGGGGGAGACTAGAAAAAGGCAATAAACGCAGAGGTGGCCAAACTAACCAAATCCGGAATCCTCCAGGAGGTAATGTTCCCAATATGGATTGCCAATCCGGTCATGGTCAAAAAACACAATGGGACATGGCATATGTGTATCAATTACTCAGACCTAAACAAGGTATCGCCTAAGGACTACTATCTGCTCCTAGAATTAGACCAGAAGGTAGAATCATTGCATCGTTTCCAGCGGAAATGTTTCCTAGACGCATACAAAGGGTACCACCAGATCCTCATGAGCAAGTAAGACGAGGAGAAGACCGCCTTCTATACATACACAACGCTTTTTCCTACAAAAAAATGTCATTTGGATTACGAACTTACCAAAAATTGGTTTATTCCCTTTTTGTCAACCAGATTATCCAGAACATCAAAGTCTACATGGACGATATGGTTATAAAGATCCCAGACGAGCAGAGGTTGCTAGAGGACCTTGAAGAAACTATGTGGAGCCTAGAGAAAGTAAAGATGAAACTGAACCCCATAAAGTGCACCTGCGGGGTAGAAGAAGGATAGTTCCTAGGGTACTATCTTACAAACGAAGGAATCCATCCTAGCCCCACCAAGATAACAGAACTCAAAGAAGTAACATCACCTCACACGCTAAGAGACGCCCAAGGCCTGAACGGAAAGCTAACGACGTTGAGCCGTTTCATCTCCAAGTCAACTGAGAAGGCGATGCCACTATTTGACATGCCTAAAGGATGAATTGGTAAAAACACCCTTCCGTTGGACTCCAGAACCCGAAGCAACGCTACACCAAATAAAGAAAGCGTTGCACATGCTACCCATACTGGCCAGCCCAATACTTGGCGAGACACTCCAAATGAATTTGTCAGCATCCAATGAAGTCATCTCGTCGGTACTGGTAGTAGAACGGCAAGGAAAGTAGCTCCCCCTTTTTCTTTGTTAGTCGGGCGCTGCAGGAACCAGAGCTTAGCTACCCTATCATTGAAAAGCTAGTACTTGAATTGGTATATGCCGCCCGACGATTGCAGCGATATTTCCAAGCATACCAAATAGAAGTCTTAATTAGCTGCCCAATTAAGCAAGTGTTCCTAAAGCCAGAAACCTCAAGGTGCTCACAAAATGGGCCATCAATTGGGAGAACATGATATCAACTATCACCCCCAGACGAGCATCAAAGGGTAGGCGCTAACAGATTTCTTACTGGAGATAATGGGAAAATTGCAAAGGCAGGTGGAAGAGAGCATGCACAAGGAGCCACAACACGAAGACGATGAACATGCCTGGACCGTTTATACCGATGGGGCCTCCAGCAAGGAAGGATATGGAGCAGGCCTCAACCTAACAAGGCCCACGGGCGAAGAAGTGACATATGCTCTACATTTCAACTTGCACACATCTAATAATGAGGCCGAGTATGAAGTCTTGCTGGTGGGGTTAAGGCTTGCAGTAAAGATGGGAGTAGTGAAAGTGACATCCCTCACCGACTCTAGACTGGCCGCTAACCAGATCATGGGGGAGTTTGAAGCGAAGGACAATATGATGGAAAGATATGTGTAAGCTCTTTAGCAGATCACAAGCTCACTCATAAATTTCTCGACCAAGAAAATACCAAGGGGAAGCAATAGGTGTGCCAACGCCTTGAGTAAGCTAGCATCAACATGTTTTGGCCACCTATCCAGCATCAACATGTTTTGGCCACCTATCCAAAAATGTCTTGATAGAACTACTCAAAGAATGAAGTATCGATGAACGACGGGTCCACATCTTATCCACAATGCAACCCAACTGAATGACACCCATCATAGACTACTTACAACAGGGCATCCTCTAAGACGACCACGCAGAAGCCTACAAGACGAGAATATGGGCCCCAAAGTATACTATCTTGGGAGGAGTATTATACAGGAACGTATACATGACCCCATGGTTCAGATGCATAGATAGGGACTCAAGGAAACAGGTCATTCATGAAGCTCACACCGGCTTGACAGGACCCCACGAGGGAGCCAAAGCCCTTACAGGGAAGATACTATGAATGGGACTCTACTGGCCGGACATCCACGATGACACCACCGATCGCACTCGTACATATGTAAAATGCCAAGCTTTCTCCCCGATACAAGGTGTTCACCCAACACCGCTAACAAGCATTTTCATCCTATTGTTGCTCTACCAATGGGGAATCGACATCGTAGGACCATTCCCAAAAGCCCCGTTTAAAACCAAATTCCTAGTCGTAGCGGTGGAATATTTCAAGAAGTGGATAGAGACATAACTGGTGTGGCGTGAATCACAGGAAGGTAGATGATCAAGTTTTTGTGGAAAAACATCATCACAAGGTTTGGGAGACCCAAAGTCTTAATCAACGAAAATGGCCTGCAG